TTTATTTATTTGATGGGGGAGGAATAGCAGAGGGAGAGGGAGAAGCAGACTGAGCAGGGAGCCCGATGCGGGACTCATCCTGGGAGCCCAGGATCATGACCTGAAATAAAGGCAGATGCTTAACAGACTGGAGCCACCCAGGCACCCCAAAAAGAATATATCTTGATTATTAAATTCTAGGCATAATATCAAAGTTGCTGACTTATGAATACACAGAGAATACAAATAAATAATTCATCAGGAGTAAAAGTCTTAAGTTCAATATTTTAAATGAGTTTACATTTTAAAAAATTTTAATTAAATCAGTTGTATAAGTTTTAAATGCAGGGGCATCTTAGTTGGTCAAGTGTCTGCCTTGGGCTCAGGTCATGATGCCATGGTCCTGGGACCAAGTCCCACATTTGGCTCCTTGCTCAGTGGGAGCCTGATTTACCTCTCCCTCTGCCTGCTTCTCCCCCTGCTTGTATCCTCTCTTCTCTCTCTCTCTCAAATAAATAAATTAAACAATCTTAGAAAGAAGTTTTATTTATTTATTTTTTAAAAGATTTTATTTATTTATTTGACAGAGAGAGATCACAAGTAGGCAGAGAGGCAGGCCGAGTGAGAGGGGGAAGCAGGCTTGCCACTGAGCAGAGAGCCCAATGTGGGGCTCAATCCTAGGACCCTGGGATCATGACCTTTAACCTACTGAGCCACCCAGGTGCCCTGAAATAGGGAATTTAAAGCTCTTAGCTCATGAGTTAAGATCTTAGTGTCAGTAAAGGTTTTTATTATCTATTACTACTACTTCTACTATTACTATTGTCCTGTACTTGGTTTACTAAAGAAGAAACCAAAGATATAGAATAACCCGGTAGGTGCTGACCTTCTAGAATCTTCTACTCTTAAAGGAGAACATATCATATGACAGACAAACTGTTAAATGACCAACTGAGTACATTGTATGTCTTTAAGATCCAGGAACACGAGGCTCACAGCTGGCAGCACAGTGTAATTTGTTAATATTGTAAACTCTGCTGGAATCAATTGCTTCTTTTTAATTGCTGGTTCTACTATTGACCAAATGTGTCAGCTGAGGCTGGTTATTTATTCTTTCTGTGCCTCCGTTTCTTAAAATGTAGAGTGAAATAAGAGTACATCCCTCATAGGATCATTGAGAGGATTAAATGAAGAAATACTTAAATGAAGAAAGCACCTTCTTTTTTTAAAAGATTTATTTACTTCTTTGAGAGAAAGAGAGAGGGCAAGTGTGTGCATGTACACTAGCTGAGGGAGGGGCAGAGAGAGCACTGCAAGCAGACTTCCCTCCAAGCACAGAGTCCAACACAGGGCTTGATTCCAGGACCCATGAGATCATGACCTGAGCTGAAACCAAGAGTCACACACTCAACCAGAAGAGCCATCCTGGCACCCAAAGAAAGCAGTTTGACAGTGCCTGGCACAAAGTATTTAGTAAGTGTTAGTGGCCAGTACATGCTTCTTTAAATCCAGCTCAAGGCTTAACACATGTGCCAAATGTGCCAAAGTGATGTGCCAAAGATATTTGTTGGTTTTCTGGAAGTAGTCGTCTGAATACCAGACCACAGCCCTGTAACTACAATGACATTAATTTATAATTGAAGTAGAAGGAGTCATTGTGGGCTACAGAAGTAAAGTGGGTTTTCCTGCAGATATCCAATTTTTTCCATTTTCTTACTAAGAAAAAAAGGGGGGGGATCCTGACAGTTCGAGGAGAGAAGAAAGTAGACATATGAATAGCAGCTATAAAGTGGCACATAAAATAATATGATAAACTAAATGTAACCCATTTATATTGGGTATCCCTATCTCTAGGAGAGTAGCCTAAACTTGACTCAAACCCCCAACTTCTTGACTTGACTAAATCCAGTGGTGGTCCCCAAGCATTCTGGAACTTCAAGTATCTTTACTCAGTGTTCTTCAAACTATATCCATTGTCGGATGACATGTGCATCTCCAGCCCTTGAGGAAAACAAAAGGATGGGGGGTTTGCATGGTTAAATGGATTTAGGAAACATTGATAAACAAAGTTTAACAAGCTTCTCAGAGGGTTTTTTCCCCCAGATGTTATTTATTTATCAGAGAAAAAGAGAGGGAGAGAGAAAGGGAGAAAGCGCCCATAAGCATGAGAAGTGGCAGGCAGAGGAAAAGCAGCCTCGCCACAGAGCAAGGAACCTATTACAAGACTTGATCCCAGGATCCTGGGATCATGACTGGAGCCAAAGGCAGATACTTAACTGACTGAGCTACCAAAGTGTCCCTCTCAGAGGTTTTTTAAAAGGTATACATAGCACTTCCCCCAATGTATTTGACCTTGGAACTCTTTTTCTCACAGAAAACCCATCATAGAAATATGATAGAAATAGAAAACCTATATCTTCTATCGTACAGAAGGAAATTGGGGATATGCTTCTTTTGTTGGAAGGATAAAACTTATTGGCGAAATAATAGGTAACATAGAAAATATTGACACATTTGAAAAAAAGAAAGAATTAATGTTTTGAATATCCATGAAATGCCAGAAATGTAAACAACCAATTATATAATCCTTTAGAGTATGTGCATTATTATTTTATCACCAAAATCTTATGGATGAAGACTTTAAAACTCAAGGATTAAAACTAAGTCACACAGCTAGTAAGTAAAGGAGGTAGCTGCTTCCATGGTTAAAGTACTTCTTAAGCACCTAGAACTGCAAACTGGGAGAAAGGAAGGCTGACAAGTGAAAGAGAAAGGTTACTTCAGGGTATGCATGCACACCTTTCACTTTTCCTTTTCATCATTTCACCCCCCAAATATGTTAACCGAAGTCCACTGAGAGTAAGAGAGAAAAAGTGGTTAAGTCTTAATAATACAAGACGTACAGAGCAAAACACAGATTGCTCTAAGTAAAAGCACCAGATGCCACAGAAAATACTAAGTTCTTTTCACATTTTAGGACTAAAATTCCTCTAACCTCCACAGAAAAGTTTTCATAGCAGGTCCAGTGAAGTACATGAATAGTGAGTCTGTATTTCAATGGTGCTGGTTCCCTTTGAATATGGAACCAGTAAAATTAAGACAGACACTTTTTTTTTTTTTTAAACTACACAGGTTAAGTAAAGTACTGGGTTCTGGAATCCACACCCACCATTCTTCCCATATGTATCCTGATATATATACTCTATACATATAGATAATTAGTATTGCTGTTCACTGAATATCTTCTAACTATGCCCACCAGATGTAATTCAAACAAGTTATTTTTGTAAGTTGGATATAGCTGGCTTATTGGATCAAAGGGACTGACACAGATGAATGATTTCCCGAGAGCCCACCACACTGCTTTTCTGAAATAAGAACAGGCCAAAGAACTTTAACGACCCTGTTGTGCAGATTCCCTCCCCACAGAAAACCTAAAACCTCAAAGGTGTAGGGCCAAAGACAATAAAATTGCTGGGTTCTGGACACTTTTGCAATACCCAGGGACACTGGGGTCAGACAACATTATTTCTCATAAGGAGTATTAATAATGTAATTTGTGACTTGAACATTATTTCTCTGAATCAGTGACTATTACCTATTGCTTGGAGGATTTTCTAGAAAGGTGGCCTGGAAACCTTTGACTTATTGCCATCTCTGGACTTTTAAAAAATCTTTGCCTCTTAGGTATCTTAAAGAAAATGAGACAATGCAATACAGCTTGTAGATTTGAGAGCATTATCCCACACAGGACACTGGCTTACTTGATCCTCACAATAACCTGATCAGTGAGTAAAGCAAATACCTCTATTCCCATGGTTAAGCTGTATCAACCGAGGTTTATAAGCCACAATGAACCAGGACTCCAAAGATCGAGTCAGCACTCTTAACTGTGACAACCGGGGACTGGACATGCATAAACTGGAAAGCAAAATGGAATTATCACAGAGAACGGCACTTTGGAAAATCTTTCGGTTTCTTTGCCTACATTTCACGTACATTTTCCCAAGACCATCAAACTTATACCGCGTTTGCAAAACACTAATTTTCTGACCACGAGGTCATGTTCGTAAATCCACAAAGTAGATAACCTTATAAAGTGTTTTTTTCTGTAGTGAAATAGTCTCAAAACAGCTCCCCCTCGCTGTCATTCGAAGCATAGTTTCACCAAAGTAAAACCTGCAGAGCTCGAGTGGAGAGAGTTTCTGCTTTGACCTAGACAGGCAGCTAGGCTGTAGCGGTCCAGGGTTACTAATTAATAGGTATTTGGTCTCGCTTCCTTCAGAGCATCTCTTTCCTGACCGGATGATTGCATCTTTCTCACTCCGGAGCGCAGGGCCCTGGCGAGTTTTTGCTCGCATGCGCTGGACAGCGCTGCCTGGGTGGCCGCTCTCTGGCAGTCTCTGTCCACCCAGAGATGTCCCCACGGTTCAGCAGTAACCAGACGAAGTCCCCACGGACTACTATGGCCCAACTTCCGCCCATCCCCTCTATGGGAAGCAGGCTTTTCCCAGAGGAAACCCCAGGAATCCAGCTCAGAGAAACCAGGCACCCACCCCCAACTCCACTTCTTTTTCCTTGTTGTAGATACACCCACCGGCAGCCCGGGTCCGGGCGGGGGATGGGGGGGGTTGCAGTAAGGTAAGTGAGTGCTTCCTTCCGGTCCCCAAACGTCTGCCTTAGACCGGTTAGCAAATAGCAGGTATCAAAGAAATACTACTGAGAAGAGAGCGCTTTTTAACCACACACCCCCCCGTTGTTATCTTGGGGTGGGGGGTTGGGGGGGAGCGGGGCGGGGAGAGATGAAAATCCCGGAGCTGAGTTGCGGTGGGAGTAAAATTAGCCTGGGCGGGGGGCGCGGGGCGGGGAGCCGGGAATTCGCCTGCCAGTTGCGGAGGTAGAAACTCCGGAAGCAGGGGGTGGGGTCCAGCTCCAAGTTCAGGCTCGAGAGAGCGCGCGCGCGCGCACCAGGTGGTGCACTCGGGCTTCGAGGTGCCCCATTGACTACGTCTGTTGAAGTCAAATGCGGAGTTAAGGGGGGCTTGAAAAAATAGTGGCAAGCCCAGAAAAGGCACGGCACGTCCAGTTCTCCAAGTTTTTGTAAAAGAAGAGCGGGAAAGCGCCACCACCCCGACTCTTAAGCAGAGGAATAGGCGAGTCTCCCGGCCCCACCCCCGCAGCGGTGATGCAAAGAGGACAAATCACCGACGTAGACCGAAGGGAAAAAAAAAGAAGAAAGAAACCCCCGGGAGTGGGGAGGGGAGAGGGAAGACAACTGGCGCGGAGCAGTCTCCAATCACTGGCACGAGAGGGAGCGCCTTTTGGGGAAACAAACCCTGCATAAATAATTGAGTTTGGAGCCCAGTGCTTTCAGAGGCTCGAAGTGCACCTCCTCAGTGCCTTCCGAGTTGAGGAAAAACGGCAGAGGAAGGGGCTGGCGACGACGGGACCGAGAGCAGCTCAGCGGGCGGTGGGACGCTGTGCCCGCAGACGTTCGCAAGAGGGACAGCAGAGCCCAGCGAGCCCCGAGGGCAAGGAGCCCTCTCCAGCGGAGGCTGAAAGACAGCTGGCTCTGCGGAGGCCGAGGAGGCGCCGCATGGGCAGCATGCGTGTCTCCGGAGGTCCCGCCGCGGTGTCCGCGGACAACTCCAGCGAGTGGTGGCCTCTGTCCGCGGGTGGTGTCAACCGTAGCGGAGAAGCGGAGGCGCCCGGGGGAGGCCGCAGCCCTCCGGGGGACGTGCGCGACGAGGAGCTGGCCAAGGCGGAGATCGCCGTGCTGGCTGTGACTTTCGTGGTGGCGGTGCTGGGTAACAGCAGTGTGTTGGTCGCGCTGCACCGCACGCCCCGCAAGACGTCCCGAATGCACCTCTTCATCCGTCACCTCAGTCTAGCCGACCTAGCCGTCGCTTTCTTCCAGGTGCTGCCGCAGATGTGCTGGGATATCACCTACCGCTTCCGCGGACCCGACGTCCTGTGCCGCGTGGTGAAGCATCTGCAGGTGTTCGGCATGTTCGTATCGCCCTACATGCTGGTGGTCATGACCGCCGACCGCTACATCGCTGTGTGCCACCCGCTGAAAACGCTGCAACAGCCAACGCGCCGCTCGCGCCTCATGATCGCCGCTGCCTGGGTGCTGAGCTTCGTGCTCAGCACGCCACAGTACTTCGTCTTCTCCATGGTCGAGGTGGACAACGTCACCAAGGCCATTGACTGCTGGGCCACCTTCATCCAGCCCTGGGGTCCCCGCGCCTATGTGACTTGGATGACAGGTGGCATCTTCGTGGCGCCCGTGGTCATCCTGGGCACCTGCTATGGCTTCATCTGCTACCACATCTGGCGCAATGTCCGCGGAAAGACGGCTTTGCGCCGGGGAAAGGGCGCGGAGGGCGCCAGTGGCGCCCTCCGTAAGGGGTTCCTGCTCGCGCCCTGTATCAGCAGCGTGAAAACCATTTCCCGCGCGAAGATCCGCACCGTGAAGATGACTTTTGTGATCGTGACAGTTTACATCATTTGCTGGGCGCCCTTCTTCATCCTCCAGATGTGGTCTGTCTGGGATGACAAACTTGTCTGGGTCGGTAGGTGTCGGGGGGCAAAAGGAGGAAAGCGCAGGAAGGCGGCTTGTGTGTGGGCGGGGGCAGATGTTCTCTTCATAATAGCTACTGGGGCAGTAGTTCTTTAACTTCTGTGTGCCTAAGGATGACGCCTTGGGTGAAATTATCAGAAAGGCAGTTTCTGGGGGTCTCCGCCCAGGACATTTTGATTCAGTAGATCTAGAATGAGGCCCAGGACTCTCCGTTTGTAGCTTGCAATGAGCCTAAGACAAATCCAGAAACTGCGCCCTAGAGTCAGCCACACAACCACAAAATGGAAAAATTACTTTTTGCCAGATCACTAACCAATGCACAACACCCTGCTTTCGAGTCCATTGGACTCAGAGAAATATTTCTACTGTAACAACTGCTTTTTGCTAGTTTGTAAAATGTTATCATAATTAATACAACAATTTTGTAGAAATGCCCCAAGAGCAAAGATAAACTGACATAGTTTTCTAAAGAAAGATTAAGAAGTCAATAATTCTAATTTAGCATTGAGTTAGTGTTCCATTTCTTATCATCTTAATTTTTTTCTAACAATTACTGTAACACTTTTTTTTCTGGTATTTTATTTTATTTATTTTTTTAAAAGATTTTATTTTATTTTTTTGACAGACTGAGATCACAAGTAGGCAGGGAGGCAGAAGGGAGGGGAGCAGACTCCCTGCTGAGCAGAGAGCCCAACGTGGGGCTCTATCCCAGGACCCTGGGATCATGACCTGAGCCAAAGGCAGAGGCTTTAACCCACTGAGCCACCCAGGTGCCCCTTTTCTGGTATTTTAAAGCAAGATTAATGATGAGCTCTAAATTTGTTTTTTGTGGGTTTTTCGTTTTTGTTTTTTAAATTTTTTAAAATTTTTAATTTTTTATTAACATATAGTGTATTATTAGCCCCAGGGGTACAGGTCTGTGAATCGCCAGGTTTACACACTTCACAGCACTCACCATAGCACATACCTTCCCCGATGTCCATAACCCAACCACCCTCTCCCTACCCGCCCCCCAACCCTCAGTTTGTTTTGTGAGATTAAGAAGATGGTTTGTCTTCCTCCTGATCCCATTTTGAGCTCTAAATTTGTTAAACTGATGAATTTGTCTTTCCCCACTAACGTAACCACACAGCTACAGCCTCTGCACACAACTCTTGCAGTAGTTTACAGAAAATGTTCTCTACATCCACTAGCTTGAGTTTAACTCCTCCACAATCTGAAAAAAAACTAACTACACAAGAACCCCCCCCCCAAAATTATTTAATATTGGGTCTTGAAAAAAGTATTTCCTTTTAGTAAGAAAAAAAACTTTTTCAAGCAAAATATATTACAGGAATGTTATCAATAGCAGCTGTAGTTGGGAAATAGGTGATCTGGAAAGAACTGTCTCCTTTTGTTATTTGAGATTGCAATAGGGACTATATGTGATATACTTTGGAGGTTATGTGTGCAAATAAAACATTTGGGAGTGAATTTAATTCAAACAAATAAAAATACTTGCATAGCTATAATATTATTGATAAATAAAGCAGCATAAATGATTTTTTTTGGTTTACCATTTCCTGTCTTGCTTGATCTTAAGCAGTCCCTTAATTGCCAGTCAAATAAAAATCTCAATCTAGTTATTTATCAGAATTTAGACATAATTTCTAAAAAATTCACTACTTGTACATAGGTTTGCTGATGATTTTCATTCTTTCTGAGTACAGTCTTTGCCATGGATCATGATCACCTTTAATAGTAGCATCTTAGCCCAAAGTATGATTAAATAATCTGCAATTCATTCCAGCATAGCAAGAATGAGGAGACCCAAATTTATATTTAATAATCAAGAAAAAGTACTTGCTAATTATTCTTATCTTTAGAAAAGGTATATTATCAGTGTCACAGTTCTGTGAAAGGTTATAGTATTTATGTAGTTTACAAATACAAATAGCATAACATATTTCAAAACTCATTGGAATATCCTAATTCAGTTGTTTTAAATATAATTTAGTTGTCCAAACCATAAAGATGGTTTTCTTTTAAAATCAAAAGACACCATAGAAAGTTAACCAAAAAGAAAAAAAAAATTACCCAACTCCACAAACAACTTAATATGCTTCCTTCAGGGACCTATTACTACCATCCCCTTATGTATACTTTCTTATTACAGAATATGTTTGCTATTAAAAAATTTAAAACTACTAAAGATGGTCCATAATGTCATACTTTTGCCTTAGCTGTTAGGTTGAATACAGTTTTGTATATGTGCTTGTAGACTTTTGAAATTTCATTGAAATTGCAGCCATTCTGTAAGCGCTGTGTCCATTAGCACATACTAGTGCTAGGATAAAGAATACAAACATCTCTTAAATAAATTAAGTGATGAATCACTACGTTCTAATCCTGAAACCCATATTACACTATATATCAACTACCTAGAATTTAAATAAAAATTCAGGAAAAAAAAGAAAAAAATAATAAATTATTTAATATTCTTAGCTTCTTGAAGGTCCCATTCATTCTACTGAAATATTTGTAAGTGGTTTAAGATGCTTGAATTAATTTCAGTGCATCTTGCTTATGACAATATTTTGTAGCCAAGCAATTTCCATACGCAGATTGATAAAAATTATACTTCCTTTTCTATATTAACCCATAACTTTTTTGCCACTTTTAAGAGTCCATAAATGAGTTTATCCAGTGCACAGTAACTTGCATGTGAGTGTTTAAATCATTTCCCGTTGTTTTTCATACAGAATCAGAAAACCCAGCCGTCACCATCACGGCGTTACTAGCTTCTCTGAATAGTTGCTGCAATCCTTGGATCTACATGTTTTTCAGTGGCCATCTCCTGCAAGACTGCATCCAGAGTTTCCCATGCTGCCAAAGCATGAAGCAAACATTGAAGAAAGAAGATTCTGACAGTGTGAGCAGAAGACAGACTTCTTACACAAACAACCGAAGCCCAACCAACAGTATGGTTACATGGAAGGACTCGCCCAAGTTTTCCAAGTCCGTCAAGTTCATTCCTGTTTCCACCTGAGCCCACGTTCATGCAGCCTGACTCTTATAATAGACTTTTGGGTCCACTGGTTAAATCCAGCTAGAAATCAGGAGAACAAGTGAACTTATAAGCGATAAGCGTAAACTGATTTGTTGAGGACAAGACTGTGTTTCTAGTTGCATTTTCACATTGCTATGAACAAAAGTTATGAATTGTTTTATAGAGGATGTTCATTAAAAAGAAAAAAAAAACCCCATGCTACATTAAAATTTGCAGGCCTAATTCCCAGAATAAGAAGAGAAGTTATATTTCTAAAGGAAAAATCGTAACCACTCTGGTTTACATTCTGTTGTTGGTTTCCTTTCTTTTCTTTATGTAGGGACATTGTTTCTGAACAAAGTGAACTCATCATCAGTCTTATAAAATGAAAGTTATATAAAATGAAAGGAATTAGAAGAAACTTCAGAGAAATTGTTTCCATCTAATAAAACTCAGTTTCTAAATGTGAAAATGCAGCCTCCCACGGTGCCCCGGAGAAGGGAAGGTGCCTTGGAAAAGGCATGAGGGTTTGGGGCATATGGAGCTGCGGATGCCTGGTTCACAGCAGAAAGTTAAATTCTGTAAATCACCTATATATCAAAATGGCAACTTTCGAACTGGCAGTTCCTTCCTTGTTTTAGGCTCCTCCTGTTTTACCGGTTGCAGAAAGCACAATTATTAAGATGCTGAAGGTTAGAGAAAATACTGTCAAATGGCCAGGAAAATCTTTTTTCTCCCACTAGTCAGATTTGTATAAGAAATACCAGATTTTGTTAGAAGAGTAAAAATGGATTATCCAAGGTACTATGTAGACTTTTTCTAGAACATTGTAGATCTGTCTCGACTAGTGTTATAAGGTATCCTGTGTTACGCTGGTTCATGTGTGGGGTGTCCAGATTATTACTTCATGTTTGGGGTGTTCAGATTTGTAAATACGAGAATCTTCTAAAGAGTGACTCAGGATTGGGGCACCTGGGTAGCTCAGTTGGTTAAGCATCTGACTCTTGGCTTCTGCTGGGATCATGATCTTGGGGGTCCTGAGAGTGAGCCCTGCGTGGGGTTCCACACCCAATGCAGAGTATGCTTGTCCCTCTCCCTCTACTACTCCCCTATCCGCGCTCTTTTTTAAAAAGAGAAAGAGAGAGTGACGGGATATAGAAAGTACCCTCATGTTAATTAAAAATAATTTGGTCGTTCCTTCTAATCTCTCACCCATCTAACAGTTATATAGCAGAGGAGAAGCATGGTTGGGTGGATGGGGGTAGGAGATTGGGGAGAAAAAACTTTTCTGTGCCTGGTTTCCTTTGTTATGAAATGCATGACTTTGGCAAATTACTTAAAGACACATAAAGCCTTCATTTCCTTGGCTGTGCAGTGAGGTTGATAACACCTCACAGGGTTATTGTAAGAACCAAATGAAATCAAGGGCGTGAAAAGATCTTCACAAATGAGTGCTCTTTGAATGCACCAGCTGTTTTTATCCTCCTCATAGGGTCTTCAGAATCACACAGCGTTTTCCTGTTTACTTTCCATTAACCAGAATTTGTTGGTTTCATGTCTGGGATATAAAATCCTAAAATTTAAATATAGCTCTGCTGATTCATTGGAAAACATTGCCAGTGGCCACAAAGCCTGGCTTCTGCCTAACCAAAGTTTTCTGATTTAAAGATAGAACTTGCTTTCCTTTAAATACAGGTAAATCAGAGCCAGCCGAGAGCATCAGTCTCTTTTATTTCTAAAAAGAGATAAATTGCCGCCCCACTTGACTATTCTGACTGAATGTTTTGTTAATGGAACCCAGTGGTTTTTTCCCTGAGCTTTTTTCCTCTGGCTCCTTCTCCTTCTTAGAGATCATGCAGTGATTTGAGAATACATCATAAATGTTTTGCATCCCTTAGAGGAAGCAATAGTTATTATTTTTTTTTTGGAAGCAATAGTTATTTTAACAGCATTATTATGGATTTTTTTTTTTTAACTTTGTAAATAAGAACCTGAGGACTGGATGGCACTGTGAGAACCTGGAAACTTTGATGTCACTCCTCCGCTCTTTTGGCTTTCTAAATTTCTCAGGCTCACTACTCCCTGGATGGTCATGCCTAAAAAAGTTCACAAATGTTTCATAGAAATTAAGCCCGTAGGTTTTAGAATTCTGCTTTTTAAAAATAGCAAATATGTCTCTTAAAGGGCACCATATGGCAAAATATGAGCCACCGATTAAATGAATCGGTTCTTCATTATTTGGGTCATAGCAGCATCTCAGTAATCTTGCCCTGTGCGACTCTGTCAACCCTTGTGACTTCTCTTCAGTTCAGAATTAAAGCCCTTTCGGTTGGCACAAAGACGAGCCCATTCAGTTCCGAAATAATAACCTCATGGGTTTTTATTTTTTTACAGATTGTTTCCAAATGTTGACGCATACCTCCAGGTAAAACAATTCCGTTTGAATCTTATTTCTAGGACCCTCTCTCAAATAAAGTGTGTATCGACCTACCCAGCTGTGTTCCTTCCTTTTAAATGCACCGGAAGACAAGATAACACTAAAGGGTAGGGGGAAACACCAGAAGATCCAAGTGCTGGTTCTATACGAGGCAAGGAGACAGCTTTATTCTCTGTGATTTAGGCTGAGAAGATTAACTTAGCTCATTGCTAAATGTCCCAGATGTTATGTACCTGGAAATGGCATTCATATATCCCCAGAACCATATTCCAGATTGGAAGAGTCCTGCTTATTTCCGAAGAATGGGAACTGCAGGTGGTAAAGCAGAAGAGTGTGCTGGGAAGGACAGATTCCCCTTTCTTGATAGAGAAGACCCAAGATACTATGCCCAGTGAAGGCTTGCAATCCAGGATAAACGTGTTATATCACCTTATGCTTTTTGCAGAGTTATCTGTGAGAACACCCTGCAAATATACAATATTACTGTAGCTGAGTGGGTATGGGGAATGTAATTAATCAACAGTCCTCCAGGTAGGGAGAAACTGGTGGTGTCGGCTGTTGGGCATTTGATAAACACTCATTGTTGATGAAAAAGGAATATTTTAAAGTATGTATTAAGTAATTAGTGGGTTAAATTGGGACTGTATTTTTATTTATTTGTTTTATTTTTTATTTTTTTAAAGATTTTTATTTATTTGGCAGACAGAGATCACAAGTAGGCAGAGAGGAAGGCAGGGGGGTAGAGGGAAAGCAGGCTCCCCACTGAGCAGAGAGCCTGATGTGGGGCTTGATCCCAGGACCTTGGGATCCCAACCTGAGCCGAAGGCAGAGGCTTTAACCCACTGACCTACCAAGGCTCCCCGGGACAGTATTTTTAAGTGTAAAAATAACTGTGAAGGAAATCAGTGAAATTCTTTAGTTAAATATATACTCCCCCTACATACAGAGTTTCCATCATCCTCAAAGGAGTCTTATACCATCAGTGAGGGGAGGGTATGGTTTTTAAAGGGGAAAATAAAATCAAACAGATTTAATAATATCCAGGATCCTCCTAAACTTACTGAAGTTCCTAGAATGGACATCAAACACAACTTTATCACACAAGTAAAGTAATCCAATTAGGTTAAAGGTTGAAATTTTTCAGACTCAAAAACCTGCATTTTTGTAATGCAATTTGATCCCCGAAGCTTTAAAATGTTGGCTTCAGAGTTTGAGTCTACCACTAAAGGCGCAAGTAGAGCCATCAAAGAAGCTGAGCCAATCCTTTACCCCAAACAGCAGAGAGTAGGCTCCTTTAAAATCCAGGTAAACTGGGCTCTTAAAGATGTTCATACTGGAGGCAACAGCTGTATTTAGAGTAAGCTCAGGGCAGAGCCATCTGGGAGTTGCAGAAGCAGCCACTGTGCCTCTATCCTCTCCCTCACTGTGGTCCTTTTAGTATCACGCAATGCCATCTGCCAGCCTGGGAATCATGAGTAACACTGGGCAATAAATATGAGAGAATGAACCTTTGCTACAACTTGGCCTTAGCCAGTTGGAGCAAAAATCTGAAGACTATGGGGCACCTGGGTGGCTCAGTGGGTTAAGCCTCTGCCTTCGGCTCAGGTCATGATCTCAGGTCATGATCTCAGAGTCCTGGGATAGAGCCCCACATCAGGCTCTCAGGTCAGCAGGGAGCCTGCTTCCCCTTCTCTCTCTGCCTGCCTCTTTGTCTACTTGTGATCTCTCTCCCTGTCAAATAAATACATAAAATCTTTTTTCTAAAAATCTGAAGACTATTCATAAGAAGAGTTATTTCCCTGGAGTCCCCAAGACAGACTAAGTAGGCTGAGTCACAAGAATTGCGTGACCCCACCACATGCATAGACATTTTAAGAATATTGTTCTAACTCAATTTTTAAGTACGTTAAGGTATTATGAATGAAACATTTTATACGGTGCATAGGCTATTGGCATAAAAAATGTATATGAAGGCCAAAAATTAAATGCTGTTTTTTCTTTTTTTTATTATGTATATATTTATATCATGTCTTTTTACATTGATTTGTACACTAAATAAAAACAAAATGTTATGGAGTCAATTAAATATTTATGTGTTCCAAATTTGAAAATAAATCTGATAATAATATCAGAATAATTGACAATCATTATCAATTTAAAATAATTATATATTATATATTATTAATATAAAATAATCATTATTGCAACAAATTTATGAAGAATTAATGTTGTATTCCGTTTTTGGAACTCTTTTTCAAATGTCTATATCCCCTAGTTTATTGTGCTATCTAGAAGAGTTTTAATGTCTTTTCTTCAAGTAACTGTGTGGTTCTGGTTTTGAGGGATATTGAAATGGTTTGTGACTATATCTAACAGTTGTGTTACAACTGTAACACAGTTATGTAAACTGTAAACTGTGTTTACAGGAAAAAAACAACTTGTTGTATTATACTGAAATAATTAGTGTATTTATTCCCCAATTTTACTGTGTATTGGCTTGATTCTATAAATTAAAATCCCAAATTTATTTGAAATAATTCTCTTACAATCTAGTTTAATAATGACATAAATTTCAATTTGATCATGCTGATTTTGAGAAAAACCAAATAAAGATCTGCTTTACAGCTGGGAGCTATTGATAGGTTTATATTTGAGCACAAAAATGTGTGTGTTTATATTGTTTGACTATAGCAAGAACAGGTAAAATTTTGTACTGTCTTTTCAATAAATTGTAATCATGAAAGCAAATAATTTTTATTACAGTCTGTATTGACAACAAAAATAATTGAGTTAGCTGAGTGCTTGTGTATCCTCTCAACCTAAAAATGTCATCTC